ACCTCCACCTCCTGGGTTCAAGCAATTCTCCTGCCTCAGCCTCCCAAATAGCTGGGACTACAGGTGTGTGCCACCATGCCCAGCTAATCTTTGTATTTTTTGTAGAGACGGGTTTCACCATGTTGACCAGGATGGTCTCGATCTCTTGACCTCGTGATCCACCTGCCTCAGCCTCCCAAAGTGCTGGGATTACAGACGTGAGGCCCCGCGCCCAGCCCATACACTGTTTCTCATTTAATCAGTCCCCTCTTGTGAGCTATTTATGTTGTTTCCAACTTTCCTAATTTTGAGAAAAAAAAGAGCTTCAAGAAATGTCCTTGCAGCTCTATCTCTGCCCACATACACTATTCTTTCCTCGGGATAAATCTGCAGGCCTAGAATTGTTTTGGTAATGCAGACAGCTGTCACCAAATAATCCTCGGAAGAAGTTGTCCCTCGCCATGGGCGAGTGCCTTTTCAGCATACTCGTAAGTAAGAAATTTAAAAAGAATCAGGAGCTGTTGGTCTCCCAAATTAGTTTTCTCTTTCCTCTCGCAGCATATGGCTTTTAAAAGGCTCTGGGAAGATTTCACTGTTTTAATTCCATAGAGAAAACAATGTGTGGCTCCAGAAACCCTTGTAATCATGCAAGAGCAGGGAGGAAGGGAGGGAGAGAACTTTCTGCAAATGTATTTCACGCCATGGCTTCCCAAACGCCTGCCATTTATTAAGCCGATTGTTCGGTCTTCCCTAACATCCCCTTACCCAAGCAAATGACCTCATAAGCCAAAGAGAAGGTCAGTGAGCTCTTTCCAAAAGGCATCACTATTAATCCACATATCCCAGCTCACAGAGGGGCTGTGTGGCCCTCTGGGGGAAGTGTCCTTCCACTCCTGGGCCTCCATGCCAGGCACCTAATCTGAGGGGTGCACAGGAGTGCAGTTGGGCAGCCTGTTGGAGGCTCTGCCTCTTGTCTGCCAAAGTAAGGTCCCTTTCTGTCACTGACCTTTCCACTTCAGCTACCCTTTGGATTGCTGGAAAATGTGAGGCCTAAGGTGTCCTTGAGGTAGGCAGGACAAATGAGGACATGGCAGCCTTTTCCCATCTGGGAGCTGAGGCTCCTTTAATGTGGAGACCTTAAAAGGCATGTAGGAGCCAGGGGCTGGGTTCTTATCTCCTGAGCCTGGCCAATGTCCAGATACACCTTATTTATAGCGCCACTGACAAGGGCAGTGCAGCTGGACGGCAGCTGCACAGAAGGTTGGGGCCATCTAACCAGGCCGTCTGCCTGCGTGGCCGCTGTCCCTGCTCATCAGGCTGGAGGACAGAAGACAGAACCCTGACACTGCAGGTAAGGACCACTGGTTCCCCGTGCCCTTCTCTCACCCTTGCGGTCCTTCCCAGCCTGACTCTGCAGCAGGCTTGGACAGCAGCTGTGTGGACATCTTGCACCATGCACAGGGAGTGTCCCAGGCCTGGTAGGAAACTCTCAGGCACTGGGAGCTCACTGACCCCAGCAGAGATGCAGGTGGTGCTGGCTGCTGGCTCCTACCAGTGGCAAAGCCCAGCAACAGAAGCCACCCTGCCCAGAGATACAGGGGTGTAGGCTTGAAGATAGAGAACCCTGCTCATTGGGAATGAGGAGAGGTTTAAATGAAATTGAACCCCTGCCCCCACTCAGTGGGAATCCGTTTTGAACACTGGAAAACATTTTTTAAGGGGAAAGCAAAAGAAGAAATATTATAAACATTGGAAAGGGGGAAAACCACAGTGCACTTGAACTTTTTCTCCCTGACAGAATTTCCGGAAAGCCTGGGCTGAAATGGCAAATTACTGATGAGACTGATTACTCTGGGAAAGTGTGTTTATACAACATGACTCTTCGTGGCTGATGGTTTGAAAGTCCAGAGAGCCGTTGCGTGCTTTAAAAAGGAAATGCATGAATATTTTACAATTTCCAGAGCAGGGCAAGCTCCAGGATGCACAGTCCTGAGTAATGCCCTGGCCAATTGTGTAATAATCTCAATACTGATAGGATGCCATATATATGATAGTAGACATCATCTATATAAATATCTTCTAGCCGGACACCATGCAAGACACTTTATCAAGTCTAATCTAAAAAGAAAAGAAAAAGTTGTCAGTCCAGTTTTTGTTTCCAAATTATTCTGAAGTCTGAAGAGTGTTAATAAATACCTGCATTACAGGTTAATGGTATTGTAGCTCATATTTGCTGTACGTAAGTTTATTTTCATCGTTTTATTTGTTTCTTGAAGAATATTATTTGAATTTTATTTTATTGCTAGGCTTTTACAGTTTTACTGATATGTGGTATTTTACATATTTATGGGGTACATGTGAGTGTTCAGTACATACACAGAATGTGTAATGATCAAATCAGGGTTTTGGGGTATCCAGGATGGGCTGGAATAAGGTTTATTATATGTTGAGATCAATCCGACCCAATTTTTTATATTTAATTGAGTAGCTGACTAATCCACTCAAATGATTACATTTTGGAGGCTTTTTTCTTATATTAAAAAATATTTTAATATATAACTTCCATGAAATGTTGCATATTTTCCAACACAAGTTTCCCTGACTGCTCACCCACCACGTTGTCTTTTAGAACATTTCATACTTTTAAGTTTCATTGTTCTATTTAGAGCTTCCAGAGTTCTCCATTGATTTCAGATCCCCAAAGCCAGGCCAAGCCATGCCTCTCACTGCATTCCCATGACCTGAAGCACAGGGACCTACACACTTTCCACTGATCTCTAAAATATTTCATGTTTACAATACATGGCCCAGAGGCTGATTTTAATTCATTCTCTCCCCACCAAAGAATGAGGTAAAATTATATTGAGTGTTCACATTTTCTTTTTTTTTTACTCTACAAATAATCTATGTTTCCTATAAAAAATACAGGCCAGCAACAAGAAGAAAATGAAAAATTATATATATTCTTATTACTCAAAGATAACTATTCTTGCAATTTATTGTTCATTTTAATTATTTATTGATTCTAAGGTATCTTTGATTGAAAGACTAACCATTCACTTCATAGTAGATTTTTTTTAAAAAAAATCCCACTACAAGGTATTTTAAGGTGAATCCAAAAACATTAAGTTATTTGGGAAAATGTAAATTATAATAAACAGAAACATATATATATCAATCAAGTTATTTGGTAATCTGTTTTCTGTCCAAGTTATGGTCAATGTCTTTTACTGCTGATTCAAAATCTAATTCCTTGAAAATTGGTTATCTCTATATATCATTATGACCCATTTTGGTTAGTCAATATATTAAAATATTCATAATAGTTGGATAGATGAAGAGTCAAAGGGCATAAAGATTTAGATAAAATATTTTATTAGAACATAGCAATATAACATCAGTTCGAAGTATGATCTGGTAATTGATTTCTACACTAGTACTGATCCCTTTTGAATCATGAAAAACTCAACCATCTTGTGCCTTGATCTGCATGCCCCCCGTGCCTTACAAAATCTGGTTTACTGATTTTTTTTTATTACCATTGATTTGTCAGCACCTCCTCACTTAGTCTCTAATATACTAAAATATGGATGAAAAATAGAAAAGAACCAACATATGTGCTGAGTAATTTGATGTGTTACAATTGGGGACTTTATTTGAATTTAATGGATACATTTTAGATAGGGAAAAGAGGAATAAACATACACTTTAACACAGGACTTTTGTTGCAGTTAAAGAGCAATGCTGAAAAATTAAGCTGAACTAAAACCATCTCTGAAGCCAACAATTCATAAAACATACTTGATGTGTTTTATTAAGGGGGAGCATACAATTAGATATTAAGAGGAAAATGCAAGAATTTCATTCTGCCCTTTTATTATTGTTATTATTACTTTTTTTTTTTTTTTTTTTGAGACAGAGTCTTGCTCTGTCGCCCAGACTGGAGTGCAGTGGTGCAATCTTGGTTCACTGCAACTTCTGCCTCCCGGGTTCAAGTGATTCTCCTGCTTCAGCCTCCCAAGTAGCTGGAACTACAGCCATCTACCACCATGCCCTGCTAATTTTCATAGTTTTAGCAGAGATAGTGTTTCGCCATGTTGGCCAGGCTGATCACGAACTCCTGACTCCAGGTGATCCGCCTGCCTCCGCCTGCCAAAATGCTGTTATTCTGGTCTTTAAAGAGTAAGCATGTCTAGATGGTATCTGAAGCAGCTATGGGGACCACCTATTTTCATATTAAATAAAAGCCATCATAGTGCTTTTTGCCTGCGCTTAGTTCTGTGCAGCTAAATCTAAACTAATTTCAAAATATCAGCCCATGGTTTCATATGAACACAAAATAGAAAATAACATGATTTGAATATTCTATTTCAAGTCGTATCCTTTATAAGAAGATGAAATGGTTAAGATGAAGGCACAATGGGTTACATAAAAACATTGTGTGTGTGTGTGTATATATATATATATATGTAATAATATGTAATAATATGTAATAACTAAAACCAATAAACAGTGCAATAGCTCAAAAGTGGAGTATGGTTAAATCAAATATAATATAGCCATAGTATGGAATATAGGCAACCATCAAAAATAAAGTTTACATAGAACTTTCAATTTTTAAAGCTCTAAATACAAAGCAATATTCATAATATATGAACTGAAAAAATACACCAAAATATATAAAATTATCATTTCTGAAGGATAAGATTAGTAGTAATTTTATATTTTTCTCTACATTTTAAATAGTTTACTAAATGTTCTACACTAAAACTAATGATAAAATTTTAGTAATGCAAAATTCTATGCAAACATCAAACACTCTAATTATTACCACCAATTATAAAAATTGTCAATAACCAACCAGAATGATTTAGCCTATTAAGAATAATGGCTAGTTTGGGAGGCTGAAGGGTGATTGCCTGAGTCCAGGAGTTAGAAACAGCCTGGGCAAGAAAACAAGACCCTAACTAAAAAAAAAAAGTTAACATTTATTGAATGATCATTATATTCAGGAACTATGTTTTAGCTCATTTAACACAACAGCCCTATAGACAAATGTTATTATTAATTTTATTATTACTCCTATTTTCAGAGAAGGAAACTGAAGCTTAGAACCATGCTATTCATTGCCGAGGGTGAAATCAAGTTAATGTCTTTTTTGTTGTTGTTGGGATTTTTTGCTTGTTTGTTTTGCGATGGAATCTCACTCTGTTGCCCAGACTGGAGTGCAGTGGTGCAATCTGGCTCATGGCAACCTCCATCTCCTGGGTTCAAGCGATTTTTGTGCCTCAGCCTCCCGAGTAGCTGGGATTACAGGCATGCACCACCACACCCAGCTAATTTTTGTATTTTTGGTAGAGACAGGGCTTTGCCATGTTGGCCAGGCTGGTCTTGAATTCCTGACCTCAGGTGATCTGCTCACCTTGGCCTCCCAAAGTGTTGGGATTACAGTCATGAGCCACCGCACCTGGCCTTTCTTTCTTTCCGGTACTTTCCAATCCAGTTGGCTTTAGACTTGAATGGCAAAAGAGCAACCCTCTTGCCATATGCAATGGGCAGCATGGTTTGAATGACATAAATGAATGCTGCAGGTATTGAGGGCAAAAATCTATGGACGTTTTTAAATACTTGGGATAAAGTTTACAGAGCAAGGGACATGGCACCTGGACGAAAGGAGGAATTAGCAGAGGCTGAGAACATTGCAGGTGGGAGGGAATGTGAACAATATGGAGATGGAAAGTGATAAGATTCCTTCCAAGGTACCAGAAAACGTGCTAAATGTGTTGAGGGCTGGGTAATGACTTAAGGACAAGGGCTGCCTCACTTCTCTTTGTTCTCTTTGGGATATTTCTAAAACCCAACATTTTGTAAGATGAAATAAGGAAGTCGCTTGGCTCCCCAAAATAAAAGGGGAAAAAAAGAAAAACATCGTTTTCATAAAGTATCTGGAATAAGACTAATTTGGATTCCAGATTTAAAATAAAATGAAGCTCTGAATTAGAGAGATAATAGTTGTTGGCGTTCAAGTGCTCATGGTGTGTGCAGCAGTGTTGTGAGCGCTACACACACACACACACACACACACACTCTCTCTCTCTCTCAGGATGTGCAGGGTGGGTGGCTCTACAAGGAATGCTAGCAGTTTCCTTGTTCATAGATGAGGGCGCGGAGGCACTGAGAAGTAAAGGGGCACAGAGGCAGTACAGGGGAAGCTGAATTTGAACGCAGGCAGTGCAATACCAGCTTCACACTAATCCCACGAGAAACTTGGAAAAGCCCCACAAAGGAGAAAGGACCTCATCTTAAAAATGAAGCCAGGCACAGTGGCTCACGCCTGTCATCCCAGCACTT